AATTTGTCTATTAGTGCCTTAGGTGTTTTCTCAAAAGAATGTAGCACGTTTATGAAAATGTTGAACGAAGTTGGTCTTGATAAAAAACATCAGAACTTTTGTGTTAAGAAAATAATGTCCATCGCCATCAGAACAACGTACTATATATTTTGTTGTAGAAACAAGGATTGGACCGATCCGGACTTGATGAACATTTAAGAATGAGCTTCCTCTTAGTTTTATACCTGTAATATAGTTTTATCAATAATTAATAGTTCAAGTAGTCAATTATAAATTACCTTAATTAGTGAGATTTATAATTGTATATACATAAAATGTCAAAATAAAGTTTCCATTATTATTATTATTTTGGTTTTTCATATAAACTCTTGAATCCAATCCACTGGTTCCAATTTGCTGATGACGCAGCCGGGATTACCGGTCAAGAATCTGAAAATCAGCATTTATTAAACCGACTCCGGATTTTCAATTTGGTGTCAATGGGCTGACATGATTGTTCGAGTGGATAAATGCAGCACATTTGGCATTATAAGGCTCTCACAAAATTTGTTCAATACCTCCCTAAACTTCTTATTAACAACGCCGTTATTCCAACTATTGAACTCGGTAAATCATTCTGCTATTTAGGAAGATATTTTGATTTTGAAATGACTAATAATGAACACAAACTGGAACTAATCTCCCTTCTAACAAATCTAAATAATGAAAAAAATAGATCTCAAGCCATTGCATCCGAAGAACAAGATTCTACTCTACAATCATTATGTTTTATCGAAACTCTCCTGGCATCTTACTATTACATCTATTTCAAAAACCTGGATTTCGGAAAACCTGGATTCTTTATTTACGCAATATGTTCGCAAAGGCTTGAGGTACCTATTTCTGGAACGCTGAGTAACATCTACCTAACCAGCAACAAATTTGGTCTTAACATCATCCTCCCATCAACTAAGTTTTTACAATGCCAGGTAACAATTCGGAATGCTTTAAAACCATCTCCTAATGAATCAATAATCCACCTCTGGAAGTCAACAACTAATCATACTAATATTCAATACGACCAATACAGTTCGACGAAGGAAGTGATTAAGTCATTTCGTGATGATCAAGTAGATATATTAACAAACCAACTAACATACCAAGGCTCATTTTTTACCTGTGTATCAAGATTTTCCCCAACCCAAGTAAATATGATCTGGCCAGCCTGTCAGTCCAAATTACCTCGATCGATTTACTTGGAGACATGACTCAATTCTAAATTTCATTATCACAAAATCGAACCTTTAGGCAAAATAAACAATTTTTTGATAGACTCTGCGTTTTCCACTTTACCGGCCCCCATAAAGTAGAAAACGCGGAGTCTGGTTAAAATCGAACCTTTAGGCAAAATAAACCATTTTTTGATAGACTCTGCGTTTTCCACTTTACCGGCCCCCATAAAGTAGAAAACGCGGAGTCTGGTTAAAATCGAACCTTTAGGCAAAATAAACCATTTTTTGATAGACTCTGCGTTTTCCACTTTACCGGCCCCCATAAAGTAGAAAACGCGGAGTCTGGTTAAAATCGAACCTTTAGGCAAAATAAACCATTTTTTGATAGACTCTGCGTTTTCCACTTTACCGGCCCCCATAAAGTAGAAAACGCGGAGTCTGGTTAAAATCGAACCTTTAGGCAAAATAAACAATTTTTGACAGACTCTGCATTTTCCACTTTACCGGCCCCCATAAAGTGGAAAACGCGGAGTCTGGTTAAAATCGAATCTTTAGGCAAAATAAACAATTTTTTGACAGACTCCGCGTACTCCGTACTCCGACTCCGTCTTTTCCACCATGCCATTTAAGAACGAGTATACCGAAACGTCAACATGGCATATCTATTAAATAGTGATAAACGGCCTCGGGAGGGAATCGAAAATCATCATCTGTGGCGATGTAAAATACGTCTTTTGCGCCAAAAACGAACAGACTAAAAGATTAACACTATATTTTCTAACGACACAACAGACACAGAAGGCCACAATTAAGAGCAGGAGAATTTTTCGTCGAAGCGCGGCTGGTTACCGCATCGTGAAATTACCCCTTTTGTGCGCTATACTTCGAAATACTGTCCTGTACACACTTGATATAGTTACAGTTGTTTTGATGCTTGTGAGACAGCATGCTTGGTATTAAAATATTTGTTAGTTGTAGGATATCAGTGTGTCTGTATATGATGGTAGGTAAATACTATACTGTATACATGTATTGTAAAATGTTTATGTATTATTTACAATATGAGCAGCCGTGTTGTGTCGGATATACATTGAACTCAAGCAGAAGGCAAGTACATACATTCGTGTTGTAGCATATCGAATCTAGCGTCTAGCAGCAAAGCTTTACACTAACTAAAGTAGACTTGATGCTTGTGATGTACATTACACCATGCAACACAGAAAAAAAAACCCAAAAAAAACACAGAAAACACCAACACCAGAAAGAAAAGTAGACTTATGCTACAGTGGTATTTCAGTAACACACTACAGTAGTGTGAAATTTATGTAATAGAGTACCTATTTAATATTGTATCTGTGGAAAACGCGGAGTCTGGTTAAAATTGAATCGTTGGGCAAAATAAACATTTTTGACATGCTCCGCGTTTATGGGGGCATAAAGTGGAAAATGCTGAGTGTGGTTAAAATCAAATCTTTTGGCAAAATAAACAATTTTTTGACAGACTCCGTACTCCAACTCCGTACTCCGCACTCCGTCTTTTCCACCATGCCTTCTTAAGTTACTAAGTCACATGCTTACAATGCAGAGGATCAAAGTTTGGACGGAAGTGCCAAAAATCCCAACTTTGGAAGGCCATAAAATCTGTTTTATTAGACCAAATTCAATTCTGTTTGTAGTAAACCAATCGCAAGATTAAGATCTTTCGATTAAGTGAAAAGAAATGGGTCGATATATTTAATCAAGTGACATATGTAATCACTTATACTATACCTAGCACGAAACTATTTTTAGAACGTCTGCGATTATTTAGAAATTGCAAGCACAAATGTATGCCTGTTAGAGCGTTACCATATATAGTTAGCGAGTTAGAGTTGATACTTAATAACTAATCGCCAGTCGGTCGCTATTTTGCCCATACTATTCCTGATTCATCAGTCTAAAATATATAGGGTCAAAGATATGACTAAGTATTTCATATAAACTAAAACCTGACGCACGCGGAAATTGATTTTGAGTAATGTTGATATGCTTGAAGCAAACAAGCGGTGAACACATACACTTCAGAAATTTAGTGTCAAATGTATTTTGAATCTTTACCTGTATTACAAATTAAACTTGATAAACTTCAGACATGAATGAGTATAAACTTCCGACAGTAACCAATCCTGTGTAAATCCGCCATTCCAAGCCCAAATACCCTGAAGCAGAAGTTATTTCCGCAAGCATATTGTGGGGGAAAATCTGGACGCGGACAAGCGGACGCGTGGACACAAGGTGGCGGTGTGGTTTTTCATATTTGTTCTAATATAGGGATCAAGGTAAATCAACGTATTTTGTCGTGTAATACAATAAGCAACTAAGATACCCTGTTTCATATTTGAAAACAGGGGTCTATTATTTACTCGCACGCATCGTTACTGAAGTTTGATTAAAATTGGGCAAGGATCGAACAGGGCCTTTTTAAGAAATTATCAGTGGGGCGCCATCAAAGAAAAGGGACCTATTAACCTACAACCCCAGAGTAGACAAAAACCGTTGTGACACTGCCCATATTTTACTTGTAAGTCCTGCCCCCTCCTCTCTTGATAAAAATGGCATAGTAAAAACCTCGTGAGTTACCAACATTGAAAAAGTGTAGCAGGGGGAAACCCTAGGTGTCACAATGTTATTGTCGGATATTGTAGCTATATTGGGCAGAGAACAGAGTGCGCTTGTATAGAATAAAGTAAATGGGTGGTGGGGTATGGGAGCATGCTCTAAGAATTTTAAAAAATTATACTACTCCGGAAAGTGTATTTTCAGCTATTTCACACAGTAATTTTGTTTAAAATGACCATGTGTGTCGTTTGATTATAGACAGATATATTTCTGAAAACGCATGTTTACCGTACATGAAATTAGTAGAAGACTTCAGGTCGATAATTATATCACTTCATGCACGTATGACTAAAGGAAAAACAATTAGGCAAGTCAGCAGGTAGCACTCGAATTAAGATAATCATTACTCTGCCTTGAAAAATGTATAAACGAACAGCTAATCCTGTATGTTACTGTAGAATGCTGCGTAAACCTACAGCACGTCACTGCTCTTAGAAAGTGTAAAAATACATTCAGATTTTTGGGGTAGGACTCCAACACCTCCCTCAATTTTGCGATCAAGTTAATAGGTGGGGGGGTTTTGGTATCCATGCACTGCCAGAACATGGTCGTAGTTGTGAACTGTAAGGCTTAATTTCCTACATTTTAAAACACAACTTTTTACTATTCGAACTAGACAGAAAAAGCTTTTTTGTTTATAGACAAATGTACTCTCACGAGAGGGGGAAAAATAGTTCATTGGATTAGATCTCTCAGGCTTATGCTTTTTGAAAAGGTTCTGGTATCGAAAATGACAGTTACTAAGTACTCAATTGTAGTATCGAAATTTGAAATTCTGTGCTCATTTTGGTAACGAAATAGATATCGGTATCGGTCGAGCAATACTACTCTTGACACTCTTCAAGTAAACAGCATGATGCATGGTATTGGTATAGAATTGACAATCCAGGTTATGTGACCCAACATGTGATGCATAGAAATTCTATTAAAATTGCGTAATGTGCTTCCAGACCAAATTTGAATTTCAATTTAATATTTTTAACAGCTAAACTGACAAAGAAGGTATTAAATATATTCATTAATATTCAGTACATTAATAAAATTCTATATGGGAATTGATTTGTGACAATGTGCATGTCTTGAACGTGTGGTTCGGATCATATATATGATGAAGAAAAACCATTGTTGCTTTCACCATTTCGCTTTCTTTATTTTCGGTTCATAGAACGAAAGGAGCAGCATTGCACCCATTCCAAATAAAATGAAAAGATTTTGAACCAATAGTATTTTGAAGCCCTTCTTCTTCGATTTGCCAGCCAGATCCTGAATCATTTGAATACTTTCGGGAAGCTAAGAGAAATAGAATCAATAATGATAGAAACAATGACACATTCATAACACCCCTTACTCCTGCAGATTAATTTTATAATGTCACGAGCTCTTATAAGTTGGCATGCAATTTTGGATTCTTTGAATGTAGACCCCTTTCGTGATGACGTCACATAACTATAGTTGTACCAGAATCAAAACACCTATATATGGTTTTACAACCGGAAACACAGATAGATGATGTTTTAAGTAAAAAATGTGAAAATCTCGTGTTTCAACCTTATACTGGCCATGACCAAATGAAAATTCAATTTATGCTTGAAATTTCATTTAAAGGAAATATTTGTAATATTACACCAATAATGAACAGATCTATTTCAAGTTCATCAAGGGGGATCTTGGGAATCTAGTCACCAGTAATTTAAAATTGTCATTGGTCTCGTCATATTTCAAACATCGCTTCAAAGGCAAACCGTATATATGCTCGGATTTCAACGTCATAATTGCACAATATCTGCATAAATGATGTAAAATGCCGACGCTTTCTGTGTTTAATCGTGCACACCTATGTTATGACAGTGAACTCTGGGCAACGCAAACAACATATAGGGATCTTATTTGGCTAGAAGGTGTCCAACGACGAGCAACGAAATGCATCCTTCAAGTCCTCTTACACCAACCGTTTAAAGCAACTTGATCTACTCCCCATCTCATACTGGTTCGAGATAAAAGATGTTATTTTTTTACAAATGTAAAACTGGTCATTATGAATTAAATCCTGAAGACTATCTAGTGGGCAATCCGTCTCGTCATCATACTCGCCATAGCTCTACTGATTTCTACTGACCAAACATCTGTAGAACATCCGAAATCTATTTTTCAATAGGATTGCACTCCTATGGAATATACCTGTAGCCTGTCCGACGTTATATATAAAATTCTCTCTCACTGTCCAGTCGCTTAAAACTAAACTCAATAAACAGGATCGATACTGAGAAACTTAATGCATGTTTTGATGTTGATAGACCAATTAAGGACTTGGTCCAGGAAAACATTTTCTAGGTTTCGTTCTTGCTTTTTAAATTGTTGTTCCTAAAAGTTCATTTTAATTATGTACACATATAATGATATATAAAATATGCCCGGCCACCGTGGCATATTTTTCAAGCTCGCCCGGTGTGGATATACACTCAGAGTAACATCACAAGCATCATATTATTTTAATGATGTGCAACCTGTGAATTTGTTATCATGTTTTAAATAGTGTTGTAATGTAGCATGTCAGGCAGGACTTAATTTAGGACTTTATTTGTCCTGTTGTCTGAACCTTCAATTGTTATAATTAATTTTTAAAAATTAAAAAAAAACTGCGCGGCATAAATCTATAAATGATGTAAATTTCAATAATGATGTATGTAAATAATTCATTAATTAAAAAATTAATTAATGATGTAATTAATTTTTTAATTCCATCATTAATTCCTATACTGATAATTCTCGGTAATTAAGTAATTAACTGGTAAAAGATTCGCACATTGCATCAACGCTGCGTCGCTTATGCAAAATGCGTTCTCTATTTCGCCTCTCCTTAATTAAAATTAAATAAATTCTACAATGGGAAAGTATAATTACTTCAGATTTCGTTAAGATTGCTCAAACGCTATGAAACGTTGCATAACAACAGTTAAAGCCGCGGTTACAGACGAGCAAGTTTTTTATGACGAGTTTTAATATGGAAAATTTTGGCCGCCAAGCTAGTGCACGTGTGTATGTGCAACAAATTGTATATGATTAGTTTTTGGTTTTCTGACCGCAACGATCGCTATTATTACCCATTACGGCAATAGATCGCTGACCAACTGCATGCAAGTGCCCAGATTACTTTGACAAGTTTTCTTTGTTTAGGCAAAATTTGTATTTCGACAATTTTTACTGCGACAAGTATACTTGTCCAAAAGCTAGCATGCTAGTAGCGTTTCTCCAATTCCAATTCGCTTTTCTGGAATCAAAAAAGATTCCCAGAAAAATTCGAAACACATTTTGTTTCCCTGCTGCGATTTCCGGTAAAAGAAACTTTGTCCACCACGGAATAGAGACAAACAGAAGGTCGACTCAGGCGCCAAAAAAGCGAAACCGCTGCCACTCCATGATTCGTCACCATGCAGAATGCTGTCGCTATGTTCCTAGCCAAAGCAGTTATGAGAAGCATTCACCCCTTGAACGTCCGCCATTTTGAATATTTTCAAGGGGGTAAAATCATTGCAACGGTTACGCAAAAATCATAGGCAAAACCAAGACGCCGACCTTCTGTAATGTTCCATTATGTGACCGTGCCGTCGGCAAACAAAGTTTGGAACTAATGTTTTAAAACTTACCATGTCAACCAATGAAATGTAAAGAAACATTCCCCCTGCGATACCATATATGTATTGCACAGCGGCGGTCTTGAATCCCAAAATCAAACCAATAATCAAGCCGAGATAACAGAGGCAGGCAGAACCGAAATTTGCAAGCAATGCCTGTTTGTACGTCATCCCAGAGTTCAAAAGAACGGCAAAATCACCTAACAAAAAGAAGAAAAAATTCCCTCCAATAACACACTATAATTGTTTTATTGTTTTATTGTTTTATTAAAATTATTTAAAGACGGTAGCCATTCAGCGAATGCTGGTTTTCAATGGGCCGTGTACACAATAAAAATTTACAATAATAATTATGAAGCCTAACTACTCATCAGCTTCACACTACTCAGTCACTAATACAACAAGGTATACTAATTATCTTTACTAGTACAATAATACTTAATTATTACAGCATATAAAGTACACGTACACGGGGTACTCGTCAATCACTATAGTCGTTACCATAGTGATTGATGAGCAATGTCTTTAATACATTCGCTGTTTTATTACCGATGTTTTGCGTTAAAGTTAAGGGAAGGTTGTTCC